GCACACGCAGTTCCATCAATGGCGCACACATTCAGTTGGACTTTGATATGAACCTTTAAGGCCCCAGACCCATGTTGCAGCCTGGCCCGTATGAACCACCGTCATCCAAAATGGGATCTATAATTTCTCCATTTTTGTCCATCACTTGCAGATTGACTTTACGGAGCGCTTTGCGAACTACGAGAAGGCGGATACCTGGTTTCCCACCTGGGCTGCGGATGATAACTTGTACTCGCCCTGGACGGATGGCAGTGTGCAGGAGATCAAGTTGAGAGGATATACCAGGACCTTCTCAGTGACCTTTTTCGGAGTCTCATCCAGTGACCATTTGGCCATTTTGAGACCTCAAAAGGGGGTTATCAAAAGGTCACTGGGAAGATCCAGGTAAAGTCGACTGTTGATGAGCACCTACAGGATAAGACCTCCACGATAAGGCCTTAGAATGTGGAAAATGTTGGTGGCATGACTGACTCAATCACCATCAATCTTGAAACATGATGGTTCTGAACCTCTGGAGGTTGTGAATGAACAACTGCGTCAGACTCTGTGGAGACTCTTTGGACGCCATGCTGTCGGGCCGATTGCTCACCAACAACGTACATCCAGCTTCTTCAATTCGTGTCCTTTTTGGAGTCTCCGTTTTCGTGACCTGTTACAGGCCTGTTGGGGACCGAACTAACCAGAATATCAAGTTCGGTCACGAACTGAAGAACGGGGATACTGAAATATGTTAAATATGTATTAAATATGTTTGAACCAACATGAGACATGCTGGTTTGCCAGATCTGAAGCACCTGGGCCTAGTGGAACCTGAATTGTTCATGTGAACAAACCTCAATGAAATCAACAAGACTGCCTGCAGCTGGGTGAACTTAGTACACTTCAAAAAGACGCTTTGGGCGACCCCTCTATAGCTGACAGCTCAGAACAGGGCATCCTGCAGCTTTACACTCCGTTTGTATGCCATAGTTGCATACATTGGGGTGGTTTGAATGTACAGTAGGCATGTGCTATATTCCATATAGCTGGAGTGTTTGGGAAGGATACTACGAAGCAACTCGGTTCTCTCGAACACTCATCACCTGCAGACCTGCTTCACCCCTGCTCCTCGCACCGCGCAGCTCTGCGAGGAGCTGCGCTCCAGTAGCGCGTGCCGCGCGGATGGCTGCCTCTCCACCACGGGCTTTGCGACCATCGTGGGGGATGATCCGCTGACTCTCGGCAACATCCGTTGATGCTGGAAGCATCACCCTTGGGGAGGAATGTGATGGTGATGGTGAAACCAGCTTCACCATATGCCAAAAGGCAGAAGCATTAAGACTGAAAGGCCCACAATAGAGGGTGGGTTTCCCTGCAAAGTTCCAGAAAAAGACTGGCCCACAGTCAGGATAGTTTCCAGAGAAAGCTAGGGTCAAATAACAACCAACCGTCATTTATGCGTGCGTAATTCAACATACTTAATTCTTCCAGGTCTCAAGTCTAAAACTGTTGCTATTTTTACAACTTAACTAAGGTGCTGTATGACACTTCTGGATACACCCAGTGTGATGCCTTTCAGCAAGACGTCAAGTTGTACACCGTGTTGGAAACCTTACAGCGAGATGTCCAAGGCATTGTGAGATGTTGGTAGTTAGGTTTATCCCCAACCAACTGATCACGACTTTGCCACACTTGTTTCTTCTTCCACGATCTCTTCAGGAATCTCAGCATCCAGAAGGTCGGCGTGACGAAGGCCTCCCCCTCGCCCTATCATGGAAGGCACCTTCGGTCCGGCCTTGCAGTTGCTCCGGTGCTGGTTGACTTGAGGGTTTATGGCTCCAACTACCTGTGAATGGGTGCGACGTGCCGCAGGGGGTCTGTCCCTACCTTCGGAGGTGGGGCCAGGAGTTTTTTCGGAGCCCTAGTGGTATGAATGAGTTCCATGTCCTGACACAAAGGCGGTGGAAAGTTCGGGCAACCCGAAGGTTCAGCCATGGCAGCTATGGGTCTTTGAGTGCCAGTCCCATCCCACCTGGAATCATCGACCAGAAGGTGCATGCTCGTGAGTACCTATCCAGAAGTTCAGTGGATGACGTGCAAAACGTTCTGTTGGAGGATTGGGACACCCAACTAAATATGAGCAGATATGAAAAACATGAGAACGGTCAGAGGGAGTCAGAGTAGCTCTTGCTGCTTTTCTTTTTGGGACCTCACTGTCGCTGGATGAGAGCGCTTCGCGGCACTGGCACTTACATCCAGATGCTCATGGAAGAGTCAGACCAGCATCCTTCAAGAGATTAGGACAAAAGCATGTAAGACCACTTAGGATATTGATATCATATCATGTTCGCATCGTTTTCACATTCAAGAGATTCTCATTTTTGGAATCAACAGCGTGAAGGAGACACTCCCTGACCATGAAACTCCGACTGCCAAATCGGTGGTGATTTCCACTTCCGATATCAGGGACTGTACTCTCCCTGCAACTAACATGGAATTGGACAACCCCGGTTTGTAGAGGAAATGGTCTTCCAAGGGTCAATTTTGCACTTCCATGTTAGTTCTAGGGACTGTAGTTCTTTTGGGGTTCCTTGGCGCATCGTTTTGGCACTCGTTGTTTTCGTCCCCTGAGAGAGGTACCCCTGTGGCTCCTTGCATGTCGATGGCGTTTGGTTTTATGGCACCTATGCCCTGGACAATGAGAACCATCAGCCTGGGCAAGATGCAGCAGGACGAGCTCGGTGCAGGTGCTCGGTGGCCGTCTTCGGCTCGGGAATTGGCTCGTTGGGGTCGTGCTGAAGAACACAGATGGACCAAATCTTGGGCTGTTTGGCCTATTATGGCCTATTCCAGTTGCATATCTTGGGCTGTTTGGCTGTTTGGCCTATTCCAGTTGCCTTTTCTTATAGTTTGCAGATGCTGTAGGGTCCCCATGCCTTTTACGTCAGTCCTTTGTTCGACTGATGGTCCGCGACCCAAGGAAGTCCGTCAACGTCTGCCTGGTCTTCACCGAACTTCTAGGGGGATTTGGGGGAAAAGCCCACTCAACAGTGTAGCACCCTATAATATAGAGCTCCCAAGTACCTCAGAAGGTATTTGGACCCTCCCAAACTCTCCCAAACACCTCAAGTTTCGTGATGTTCTTGGCCGACTCAAGGGAGTCAACATCGATTTGGTGCCCGAACGGGGGGTCGGTGCCCCCTTGTTCTGGTGCGTTGATGCGCCATTGCGCAGGATACTGCGGGAATTGGTGCATTCAGGGCCCCTTCATCGGCTTCAGATGGAGCAAGGATCATGGCCAGACCTGGCACGAGCCCAGGACCTTCCTGCGAGGCCCAAGAGACTTGCGGACAACCATGGGGTCGTGACACGTCTGGGCTTGATTGCTTTGCTCGAAGAAGCAGATCTAACTTGATCTAACTTGAAACAGTCAATGCTTGACTGTGACTGCTTGAAACCTGGCAGTCAGGTGAGAGGCGATTCATATGTGGCAGTGGCGATTCATACGTACTTGTTTCATCTCTCTTCTTTTTATCAACAGCAGCTTTAAGAGAGGAGGATGTTTCTTGGCTAGGTGCCATTTTAACAGAACTGATGCTTCATGCGTTGCTTCTTCGCCGGGCGAGGCTGGAACGACACGGTCTTTGGAGAGAGCGCACCCTCCAACCACAGCAAGGTGAAGTTTGGAGCACCGCATGTGGTGGATTTGGGGACGCTTTTTCGGATCTGAGTGATGTTTTTCTCGACCGGCCGTCGCGAATGGGTTAGCCCTCAAGAAACATCACCAGCTAGGAGTTTCCCAGACCGCCCAAAGGGTGGTTTAGAGAACCCCTTGGAATATTGTATTTTTTTCCATCCAATAACCACCCTTTGGGTGGTGCTGGTTCATGTCTCTTTTCTCCGTGTGTTTCTTAAGTCTATAGACAAGTGAGTGGGCGGTACCCCGGTGTTGTTGTTCTTTATCCATCCCATGTTCAGATTTCGAAGACGGAACTGGAAAAGAGTTTGTGGAGTTTCGAAACTTTTAGAACGTGCCTTCTTTTGAAGAGGTTCCAGAGGGATGATAGGGATGGATGTTCTCATCCACTCAGTGAGTGAGTCTTTCCGAAGGTTTTTTGGAAGGAACACCTTGGGAGTTGAGCCAACTGTTCTCAAAAGCTGAAACTAGATGCGGACATGGGACTGGAAGATTAGCCGATCAGGCCGTTTTTGGTGCTGTTTCTGAGATGATTGAAGGGGTCAAATGTAAATCTTCCAATCCCATGGACTAGAATGGACTAGAGATGATTGAATTCCCCAACCCCTTGCTAGTGGTCTCATTTTCCAGGTTCCACTGGGTGAGTTCCACTAGGTGACTCTGTGGTGTCCTTTTGCGTGGCCTGGCACAGAATCTAGGAAAGCCTTACAGTATCGACCCGTTGGGGATGAAGAGAAGATGATGCGCCTTGGTGGATTTGGTGGGAGACGTGCCGATCAAAGAGGGGGCCTTTGTTTAGTTCAATCTGTATATATCCAATTATCAAGTACGCTGTAGTGATTTGGAATTAAACTTGTAGAACATTTGTATATATGAACTTTTCCTATATGAAGAGGCTCTAAAGGGGCTTTGACTATGTTTGACTTATCAAGATTCTACATGGAGCTGCTGGTGCCTAAAGAGAACTCCCCCAGGACCTCAGTGTTTCCCCGTCTCAACCAGAAACACTTCTGGATGGAACTCCACAGGCAAAGGATCTCAAGCGCCAGCATCTTAGTGGAAGAACAAGCCATAGTGGAACAGCATATTCCTGGACCTTCAAGGGGTGTCCAATGGAGGTCCCTTAGTAGTGTAGGGGCTTCCATTGGTGACCCCTTTGAAGGTGCTGGTTGGTTTCTGGTTGTTTGTTATTCCGGGGGTCAGCTCCATGAACGTGAGCCGGTCCCTACCAGCGCACGCCGGCCCAAACCGCCGAAACCGCCGATTTCTGGCGAGGTATGTGATCGGGCACGGGGCGTCGTCGCGCTTCTCGCCCACGTCCTGGATGCAGGGTTCCCTGGTTTTGCTTATAAGGCTATTTTTAATTTTCCCTATGGGTAAATCCCCTTGGATCTTCATGGTGAATATGTTTTTTCCCGTTCCTGGACAGCAAATCCAAGGTTCGGAAATCTATTTGGCCAGAGTGAAGCCTGAGATCGCCTTGGTGAACGAGAAGCGCCTTGGAAATGGGCTTGTTTGCCAGTATATTGGCATTTCCGTGGATTCATGGTTCGAAGATTGGGAGTTTCCAAAGAACCACCACCGCCGCCGCCGCCGCCACCACCACCACCACCATCGAAACCACCAGCTTTTCATGTAAACCATCACTCTGTTTTTGCATGTCTTTGCCAATGTATCAATTCATTCACTTTGACTGTAGTGGAGTTAACACATCGCCTGGTTGCACTGCCAGGGGTCTTTTTTCAAGAGGTTTGTTTCACGGTTTAAACCGGTTTAACGATTGGCCCACCACCTTCACAGTGACGAGACGTTGTGAATAAATATACAGCCAAAAGTATGAAGAGAAATCAGACTGATCCTCATTTGATCCATCTCAATCTCAAAACGAAGAGGTCCGCATGGGAGTTCTACGGCGATGGCACCTGGCATCGGGGCGACGTGGCGGCGGCGAAAGCCTTGATCTCCTGGGGCAATCGCACGGGCGTAACCACCATGACCCCGCGTGGGTGGATGCGTGGGCGAAACAGCGGGTGGACGCCGCGAGTCGAAGACGCGCCGAGAAAGGCGGTTTTTGGAGGGGCGGGCTGCAAAAGTGGGTTTGGGACGAGGACATGTGAAATTCGATAGGGAAAGGTGGGCAGGGAAAGGTGGGCTTTGGAGGGCAACCTCCCGGAACCATGTCATGTGTTGGTTGATGTTTTTGGTTACTTTTATGTAAAGATGTCCCAGTCGACCTGAACAAAAACAGTACTGCAGCTGGTAGATTCTTCGACGTGAAGACCCACCGGCCCTTGGCCTTGGCTGCTATGGGCCACCCGGAGGGTCTGACTGAGCGACTGAGCCATATGCAGCCGGTGGTGCTTCGTCAAATTCATGTCTTTATTCAATTGACTTGTGCTTCGGACATGGCACATGAACCATTTGACGGCCTCCAGTCAGTGGGGAGTCGGTTCCCTACAGGAGTCATCGCACCGGCCGGTGGGGAGGTTTTGTTCGATCGAAGGCTGAAGACATCACGACCCGAACGACCCGAGGAAGTCACGATAACCAGGATCACCCTGGACCGGGGTGTGGCTCGACTACGCCGACAGGGCACGCACACAGACAGGAAGTGCTAGGTATGTTGGTTCAAAACCAGCAGTTGTGAGTGTCAAAACCCTAGCGAACGGGTGGGGTCGATTCTGATCCAACTGGGTTGGTTATAATTCTGTGAACATCTACTCACTGGGCTCACTAGAGAGATCGACGGTGCTGCTTTGGATGCCAAGGCCAAGGTGGTTTTCCCCCCTGTTGTTCGTTGGCTCAAAGAAAATGGACCATTCGAAGATGCTCGGCGCACCGTGTGCAGGACCTACATTGAGAAAGTCAAGAGATACTTTGTTTCTCGCATGCAGCATGGATCCACCTTCAGAAGCTGGGGGCACTGCTGTGGGCAAAGCTGGGAGGCATGTTTGGGCCGTTTTCTCCAGTGAGAAGAACCATCTAGTTTTCAGGCATTAGCCACGCAATGCCACACAGGGGGTTGAGATAAAATTCCCGATTCACAAGTTTGAATAAATATCCCAAAGGTTTACGTTACTTGATCCACTGGGTTTCATGAGTGTTCTGGGATGGGTTTGGTTCGCTTCTTCCGAAGGATATTTTCTTAAAGGAACCTTTGGTGCTCCCAAGCAGGAACTATACCAGGACCTTCCAAGAGGTGTCTATAAATAGCCTCTTAGTGATTCGGGATGTCCAAAAACCACCGAACTTGGAAGGTCCTGGTTATGGATGTCCTGAGATCAAACACACCTCCCAGATCCTTGAAGTCGCGGTGTGATTCCGCCCACCAGTGACTCGGTTGCTGGTCCGGACGAACATCCTTCCCACCACGCGGCACCACGCGGGCTGCCTGGGCCCAGGTGTGTGTTTCGACACCGAGCTACAGTCCATTCACGGAGCGGCAATTTGATACATACCTGCTGGAAAGTGAGCACATCACGGGGCCCTTCAGATATATTAGCCACTTGGCTGCTTGAAAAGACCTGGGTGGTCCTCTAGATTCTAGATCATTTCTGGCGGGCAGATGCGGGAGGGGAAGAAGGGCTCCAGATTCTTGGGCCAAGAACCTTTGGGATAGATCCATTTGAGATATCTTCCCTAGAAGTCCAAAGACTAATTATATATTATGTTCCCTTTCTGAAGCGAAGGAACTTCCCTTTCAGGTCCCCTGAAGACTGTTTTTGTTGAGAGTCCTTGACTCCCAGGGTCTTGCAGATATCCATGGAGGATACATGCCAGGGCCATCCTGTTTGGGTGTCCAATGGACTACCCTACACTCCGAGGGATTCACGTACATAACACACACCTAGCACTTTCAGTGGTTGGCCATGTTGTTTAGACTTTGGCACAATTCCAGTGTATGCAAGTCACAGCTCCTGTCATTTTGATTCCTGCGTTTTCCTGCTCTGTGCATTGCAAAACTGTACCATGGAGAACTAGACTCAACAACAGCACCCAAGAGCAAATGAGTGTCCAGGGGCCTCAACGACACCAATTTGTTTCTACTTGGGGTGCTTTTAATTGCTCAGTGGGAACTGACATGTTGAAGAAACTTCTTCACAGATGTCCATCAAATCGAAGACTTAGGGCTGGGGGCTGGGGCCTTCATGTTGGATTACCCATTCGATCAACCAAAAGGCTATGACAATCTATGACCGATGTTGCAAAAAAATAAGTTTCGTCGCGGAAAACTGCCAAGCGCGTGGTCCACATTTGGTCGACTAGGCTACTTGAGGGAGTTTGGGCCAGAGGCCTACTTCGTGAACATTCCCAGCAAATTTGTGGGTGACTTTGATCCTAAGGACGTCTGAAACTGAGCGGGGAGAGTTTAGAGATTCTGGGATGGTGAGTCAGCCCCGTTTTCTGCGTTTATGAAGTTGTGAAAGAGCTTCATGATTTGTTTTGGTCCCTTAAACGTGAGATTCTTCTAAACAGCTATGTGGAAGCTGGATTTTGATCGACTTGCTTCACATGCCTTGCTCGGATCATACTGGCCAGGAGGGAACGTTGCGCCTTTTCCTCTCTTATTCGGCAAATTTTGCTTACAAGAAGACCTCCCCGAAACCACCTGGCAGCGGCTACCACTGGACCTTACAAGAAGCTTGGAATGAGGTGTTTGTTTTTGTTCCGAAGCGCCAAGACGACGGCCAGGTGTGCCGGTGTGTAAGAGTTCATGACGACTGTGACACGGTGGAAATGACTGTTTGATTTTGCTTTTGCCGATCAGGTGATATGCTTGCTTTCCCCCGAACTGGCAAATTCCTCTTCGGAGTATATCTTTGTTTCTATATAGCTTTTTAAGCGCATCCAATGTCACACTGACTCTAGCTATTTTATAGATGTGCCGTCCCTTCCATGGCGTTTGGAGGTTGGAATTTGAAGGTTGGACACTGCTGTCTCAGGCGAACAGGCGGCTTGACATGGCGCAAAACATGGCGGGCAGTAGTAGCTGCAATATAACAGCATGCTACCATGCTACCAATCCCGGAACAAGATAGAATGAAACTCCTATTTGCACCTGTTCTGATTTGCTGCAACTGCATGTTAGTTTTTGATACTGTGGAGAGATGTAGAGGACCCATCCTCAACTCATATATCACGTGTTTATTTCATCCAAACATGAGAGACATATTTAAGGTATCTAAGACAGACTACCTGCAAGGTGGTTCCTGGCCGTATTGGGGCTTTGATGTGATTCATGACATACGGCGGGAATTTGTTTGTATTGTTGCAAGAGAGTCCTGGCTTTGCTTAAGGTGATGTTTTATGTGTTCCCTATTGGTCAATCCCCTTCTGTTGATGTTGTCCAGGTTCCTTAAGCAAAACCAAGGAGCGTTTGACACGTCATGTTTGGTTGATATCGATACCAAACGAAGGATCATATTGCGATCTTCATTCAAACCCCCACTGAACCCAACTTTTATGCCTATATTTGACCGTACGGGTGATTTTTCTCGAAGTGGTGCAAACTCTCTGTGAATTCTTGCTTTCACAGGGGAGCTCCCAGGAATTTTCAGACACCTATTTTTGGGTGGGTCTGAGACGGTGCGGTCGCTGCTCTCCGAGGAAGTGATCCTAAGAAGGTCTGCCACCTGGAGCACCGTCGTTTGAAGCACCGAACACGAAAAGGGACCGCCGCGGGGGAGCCGGGCTTGCGCGGGGAGCCGCGTCGACCGGCCTGAGAGGAGGACGACTCTTGCTGAGCGATCCTGGATGTCCCATGGTGTCCTTGCGGAGCGATCCTGCACTCGTCTTCTAGGGATATGTAGGGATCATTGGGAGACCCGGAGACTGTGACACCGGTCCGTAGACCCCCGTCTAGCATGGCAAACACCAGGTGATGGTGAATCCTTGGGGTGGGGTGATTGAACATCACAACGCCTTCGGATTAGCCATCACTGGTGTTTGTTGAATCCTAGGGATTGGATGGGGTGGCTTTGATACGTCCCGCCTTCGGTACACAGGCTTCGTAGGAGTCGCTGACACCGCGAGACGACACGAGGACACGCCGCAGAGATGCCTGTATAGATGCCTGTCAGTGTGCTGAGGAGATCCACTGGGCGAAGTAGGCACTGAGTTCTAGGAATTCACCCATACAGTCAGACGAACTGAACAAACAAATAAAAAAACAAGGCAAATGAATGGATTCCGGTCACATGTGAATGGTTTTTGGGTCCAATCTGTCACCCGCCACCAAGCCAAGCCCAGCCAGATCGGGATCTGGTGGAATCGTGATTGACTGGTTGTCCCCCGACCTGAAGCATGGGCTGCTGGATGTTCTTCATAGTGTTCTTCAAGGACGAGCCCACCTATAGACCGCCCTATTTACATGAACGGCAGTGGAGTTCACCGCCTGTTTGTAGAGAAAACTTATCATCCAAGGCTGGGCCATTTTCCACTCCCATGTATTTCCAGGGAGAGTATATGACATTAAGTCTATTAATGTGTGTAACTCACTCAGCCTGGCAAAGCGCTTGGAACAGAGTGGACTAAATTTTGAGTTCTATAGAAGATCATCCATTTATAAAAGATTTCGAACTAATTATGTTGACAAAAGGTGGTTGACATCGTTGGCATGGGTTCTTTTGAGTGGTTGACAGCGATAGTACCTGAGGATATGAGCACAGAGTGCTCACAGAGAGTAGTCTCATTCCTGTCCCTCAGGAGTTCCAAACTGCGCAGCCAAACCCAGGAGTTCCGTGGATGACCCGACCTCAAAAAGCTTCGTTGGTTGGATTGGGGAACGCCCCTTCGATCGGATGGATTCACCAGTCTAGGGAGTCACATGAACATCAAGGGGTGCCTGGTTCACAGTCAGTGATCGAACTTGATCACCTGGTTCGGTTCACAGTCAGCCTCCAATAGGGTCACGATATTCGGAACCTTCAAGTTCGGTCACGAACTGAAGAAGCGCAGCTGGTTTTTCTCTCCCGTGGTCCGTGGACGTGTGGAACCGCACTTCCTACGTCCCTCCGAACTACTCTGGGTGGTGGTTTGAGATATGTACCAGGACCCTCCTGTCGCGGTGCCCTGTCTGGAAGCCTAGTGGGGTAGTGTGGGGTAGTCCAGCCAGGACACCTACAACCTTGACTTGGGATGAGTTGAAACCAACCAGTATTGGTTTAGCTCGTGCTCCCAGCAGCCTGGAGCTCGAGCTCGCCAGGTGGAGAAGCTTGAATGGAAGGCAGCGGCAGCGGAGCGGGGGCCGCGGATGATGTGGATGGACCCCTCAACTTGAAATGGATCAAATCCCTTACCCAGACACTCCATGGGACTGCCATATATGCCGCCCCATTGACCCCGTTTCAACCACCCCTGGCCGTTTCTCGGCAGTTCTATGGCAGTCCCATGGGTCGTGTTTGGGTTAGGAAGCAAGAGATGGCCCTGGCCGCTACTTGGCGGCCAAACCGATTCACCGAAGATGACCTGCCAAGCAGATACGGGTGTTTCTTCGCTTTGCCAGCGACCAGAAGCGGAATGAAGAAATCCAATGCACAGAGTGCGACATAGGTCCAATCAGTTTCGAGGCGGATATTGTGACGATATAACGGAGCGACTGCTTGTCAGAAGGGTCGTAGTGGTGAACACACATTGTCTTCTGGTTGACACATGTTGAAGCCTTACCCAGATGCTCCATGTAGAGCATACATGTATGTATGCCTATCAGTTGGGGTGCTTACATTGGGGGTCAATGTAGGTATTATATGCCAGTCCCATTAGTCCTGTATGGGTTATGGATTCACACCCCCTCTGAGAAGCTGGAGCCGATCCCCAAGGGCATCGACTCGACTCGTCAAAAACGCCTTGGACCATGTCCACGGCGAGCTCCGTGATGGGTCTGATGGGTCTGTGTAGCAGCTCGGCTCTTCGCATCGAGCTCAGGGAAGGAGCGAATTCTCAGACTGGGTTCCACCACCATCCGGGAGACGGCAGTGGAGACAGGGTGATCTTGATGTTCATTTGGCCAAAACCGGGTGAATCATGGTGAATCCCCTTTTGGATCCTGGAACATATGTTTTTTCTTGGTTCCTGAAGCACCAAAACAAGCCAATACTACACCGTCACCGGGTGGCATGGCCAAGCCCTACTAGTGTTGGGCCCTGGGGGCTGGGCCTGCCGTGTTTTTTGGAGGAAAAACACACTCGGATCGTTCGCCGTTGGCGTTGTGGTTCTTGGTTTCGGTATTGGTATCCAACAGAGGTTGAAGGATTTTTATAACCCTAGTTCGCCTATCCCAGTTGGCTACCCCAGTCCAGGTCCTAGTTCAGGTCACTGGCTACCTCTCTTGGTCGTTGGATGTTGGATGTGAGATGTTTCTTCCGCGTTAGACCAACGGCATGGATATCCCAAACCATGTTACGAGTGCAGCTTGCAGGTTCGCTCCACCTCAGAGCAGCATGCACAGGACGAGGGTACTGGGAACTTGATTGTGAAGCTCCTTCCAACATCTGCCAAATCTATAGTCTACAGGGCCCAGCAAGTCCAAAGGACGGGTTAACCTGGTGCGTTACTAAAGAACTAGTTAAACTATGTTAAACTTAAACTGGTGCGTTGACCCACTGGGCGGGGGGGTACATGTGGGATCGGTCAAAAGCTACAACGACCGGTTGTATAGGTTTCAGTCTCAACTTGCAAATGTCGTTGGGATTGGCCATCAACATCGTAGGAGTCAATCGCTCTGATTCACGCGGAGCGCCCTTGAAGCCAGTTGTGGTGATGGAGGAATCAGATGTGAAATGAAATCGGTGACGAGTGTACCAGGTCCTTCAGGACCTGTGACCGCACTCAATCCCCTTGTTTCGGCCACGAGTCCGAAGGCAAGTGCGGTCACTAGATGGGGACAAGTTGGGTCACAGGTCATGAGGAAGCTGGAAGCTGGGGAGTAGCCGCAAATTGCAGGATATGTTACCTTTGATTTCCAAGGATGTTTGACATAGTAAAACACCAGATGTTCCAAGCAACAAGACAGACCATGAACCTGGAAGGCACATTTTGGGGAAGCAGTAGCCTTTGGGATACTCATTGTTTGGGATGCTTTTGCTATGGCCCTAGGGCAACCAGTGTTAAAGTACAGACCATACGGTTTTGTGGAAAACAATCACCATTACTTGTCCTCGCCGTACAGGCACTATTTCATGCTTATTGGAGACATTTTTTGGGGGGAGGATTCTTGGATCTTCTGGTACGTTTGTATACTGTATTTTACCTAGGGTCCGTAGCCATTTTGGCTGGAGTTCCCGCCAGCATGGCTTTACCATGCTTTCATCAGTGGATCCCTTGCCGGCTTTTTTGGTTGCCTGAAAAAGTCAGAGTTTAATTGGGTGTGGCCGGCAACTGAGGACACACGTGGGGAAAACGCGGGTGTTTTTTGGGAGACTCCCAAAGTGGCTGGCCATGCGAGGTCCCCAAGAGACGCCCCAGAGTTCCCCCTGGAAACGAACTTGAAGCAAGCAGGTTCTGAAAGGAACTGTCCGATCTCTTTTCGTGCTGAGCTGGGTCCGGGAGTCTTGTGTGCATCTTTGGTCAGTTAGTCCAAGTCGCAGGAGATGCAGCAGAAAGAGCTGGAGCTTGCCAAGCTGCGTCAGGAAATCCAGGCGCAGGCGAGCAGCAGGGAATGGCTGCACTGCCTACCCAGTCAGTCAGTGGGTGACCTTTGACCTTTTTGGGGGGCATTGGGACTATGAATAATGGAACAATTGGAAAACCTTTCTGATCCAGGCAATCTGAGGGAGTCAGACTAGGTGTTTTCAGGGGCTGCGGGCTGAAAAACCTGCCACGACTGTGCGGCCACGGCCCGACGGCGATCGGATCGCCACTCGTTCAGCTTGTCCCCCATCGAAGTGCTGCAGATTTGTTGTGCTGGAGCGTGGCAGTGATCATGTGAACCCACCAGATTTTGGACACGCTCCGTTCTGCGTCGCACGCGTCGACTTTTCGGGGTTACATAAGAAGCAGTTCTTAGGTGGGAATTCCTATATACACGGCCACTCATGATTTCTTCCTTAAAACATGGTTGACCTGATGTTGTAGTCCGAAATTTGTGACTAAAACATCTCGGTTGTTCGGGATTCAGACTATTCACCAGGGAGCTAAGGAGCAGGCAGTATCCACCTGGGGGAGATGCAGTGAGGCTGTGGAATCACAGGGAGGCAACCTGTTTGGACATCCATGGACATCCTTTGACAAGTAATTAGGTGGGTTTTGACAGAAAACACACGACACATGATTTAAGAGGGGTTCTGGGAGCTTGACAGCTTGAGATGAATTGGCGGAGCTCTCCAGAGCGTTTTTTGATTTTGAGGGAGATCTGCTCAGCAAAGTTTCAGCAGCTCGTGGCTGCTTTCTAATACACCAAATCTCACCTCAGATCCACTTGGCCCGGTCATCTCAGAATTGGTCCCCGAAGGATCAAACCTATACAGCCAGATGGTTTCTTGGTTTCATTCTTTATGTTTTGGACGCGGGTTTACAGTGAATCTTGTACCCTTCAACCGTGTTAAGCACAGCCCCGTGGAGTTGAACTCTAAACCCACGGCGCCAGGCGAAGTTGCCCGTCCAGGCGTGCTGGCAGAGCGTGGCAGGACAAATTTGGCCTTGAACATCAGCTGTGCAGATGTTCTTGCGTCAATCTAACATCTTCAATCTATTTCCATTGCACCGAGTTCCGGTGTTTTAAGAACGCACCACCCAGTTTCGCTTGACACGGTGCCAACTCCACCAGTCCTCTTTGGTGCGGGTCGGACAGCGCCGGACACGGGAGCCCGCGGCCGCGGCAGCGCCGGACACGCATGGCTCGAAGGACTCGGAGTTCGGGAGAAAGATGCAGTTCCATTTTGAGTGTTTGACCTCCTTGCAAGTGTTGGAGTTAAGTAGATCGAACATGTGGCCAAGTGCGTGACAGGCATGCTGCGGGAACAAGCCAGAAGCGAAGTTATCTCTACAATGCGCCCAGATGGTCAGGGCAGGAGCCGGTAGGCCACTCAGTGTATCTTGGCGTTGTCCAACTACTCCTTGACGCAGATTCCATTGCTGCAGAGTGGCCCTGCTGTCACTGTGCTTGGCTGCTGAGACTCCAGGTAGCAGCTCACTAGGTGGCCACCGGCCAGGTCCACCTGTGGCAGATCCAACTGCTTGAAGTTCCGGACACCCGCCCAGGTGCAGCATTTTGGGAGCCTATGATGGTTTTCGGTGTGGATGGATCCTCCTGAAGCATTGGATGGATCCTTCTATAAATGCGTCAGGAGCCTCCCTTCTCTCAGTGTGTGTGTGGATTCAATAGCTGTGGCTGTAACTGTTTGATGCTTGCATTGAAGGCAACTGTCACAATGCCCCAGCTTCCGCCAGTCCCATGTTCGTGCGCTGTGTCACCCAAGTGTGAGTACAACTTAGACGTCCTCAGGCAGAAGCTGCCAGGATGCCCATTCCAACCTTCCTTGCAAAGCTGTTTGCTGCGAATTGGGGTGAAATATGGTGAATTAGCACATCCAGTTGAAGGTTAGCCCTGGGAACTTGGAGCCTGGAAGCAAAGAACAAAGGAACGCCATATGGTGGGGCCCACTTTGATGAATTTAGTAGGTGGCCGGTTGCCTAGTTTTGGTCCTTGAACTTTGTACGGCTTCTACGTTGCTTTCCGAAAAGTCTACTGTTGGGGTTCTCTCTTAGGAAAAAAGACACTGGCCACTGTCTCTGGCCGCGCCCCTGAAGCTCTTGTGTGGTTGGCCTCTTCTTGTCCTTGCGAACCTTGTGTCCTCCTCATGTCCTTGCGCTGTGCTCTGCAAACCTCTGTGTCCTTCTCCCTCTGGCCACGCGTCGTCCTCTTGTCCTCTTGGTGTCCTCCT